TCTCTCTCTCTCTCTCTCTCTCTCTCTCTCTCTCTCTCTCTCTCTCTCTCTCTCTCTCTCTCTCTCTCTCCGGTACTAACCTGTGAAGGTGGCGCCTTGTTGCAGGTACATCGAAAACGAAGCTCGAACAATGGCGCCACAGGTAAGTCGCCCTCGCCTCCACCAACCATCTCTCTCTCTCCAACGCTACTCTAGCTCCTACTAGCGCCCAACGCTGAAGACTAATCCTAACGCTACTACTACTGCAGCGCTCCTCCAGAGTGCTGCTGCCGAATCCTGAAGACTGCCTCCTGCCTGCTGCAACCTGCACGTGAAGTGCATGGGAAGTCCCTATGAACTACCTGCAGCTTGCAGGGCGGGCCAGTCTTATATAGTGCTGGCCCCTTCAGGAGGCTGCTCTTGCCAATGCCAAAACGTGCCAGACCCTGGCGTTGAAGCACAAACGAAGGTTGTCTTGAAAACAGTCCCAAAATGGCCTGTGCTAAGACCCTCGTCTGGTGCCTAAGTTTCAGGGCAGGTCGATCTTATGAGGGCTTGAAAATGACCCTCCATTTCAGGTTGAAAAGACTCAAGGCCTGGAGGGCCCTGTTTTAGGCTGAAACGACACAAGGCCTATAGGCCCTTGTTTTCAGACTTTCAGGCTGAAACGACACAGGGCCTGTAGGCCCTTGTTGTCAGGCTTTCAGGCTGAAACGACACGGGGCCTGAAAATGGGCTTTGTTTGTAGGCACAACATGTAACACCCCCTCCTCATAAAGTCAAGCCGGGTCGAGGGCGAAGCTGACGATCTGAAGGCGAAACCTGGACGGGGGTGCGACGTGGAGCCGAAGATACCGACTTGCCTTGCATCTTGCGTTCGTAGTGTGCGAGAACATCTGGAGCTGTTGCTTGGAGTTCCGCACGGATCAACCAACGGTCAGCCTTGTGGGTGCAGTATGCAAAGTGTACCAAATATTTGGTCGACCGGTTGCCATAGCGTCGCTGGGACATGATGTCGCCGACCACTTGAAAACCGTCCATAGAGGGTGGGTCTTGCGATCGTCGCCCGGGGAAGTCATTGTGTTCAGCTGGCGTGTAAAGGGCCAACTTGGAACAGTGAAAGACAGGGTAGACGGACAAGTGGGCGGGCACCTGAAGGACAAATGAAGGTCCTTCAGGTGCGTCCCCCGCAGGTGCCACGATCGGCCAGGGCCCCATCCATTTCGGGAGGAGCTTGCGAGAGAGATATTGCTCGAGGCTGAATTTCGCATCGGAGACCCATACGCCGACGCGGAAGGGACAAGGAAGACGTTGTCGATTTGCCTGTTGGCTCATGCTTTGCTGCGTCTTTTCCATTTGGTCGTGTGCCTTGACAAGTAGCTCTTGCATCCGACGTACGAAAAGAAGATGGTGGTCGCTCTCGGTCGCCCGTGGGATGATTGTGTCCAACGGAGAGGTGACCGGTGAGCCGTGCTCGAACTCAAAGGGTGACATCCCGATAGCCGGATGGATGGACGAGTTGTATGCCAACTCGACATCCGGCAGCCGCTCAACCCAATCCTCTTGGTCGGGACGGTGAGCGTGCGAAGGAGAACCTGTGTGGTCTGATGCGCCCTCTCCGTTTGGCCGTCAGTTTGGGGGTGGTGAGCTGAACTTGGCTTGAGAGATGAGCCCATCGTTTGATGAGCGCCAACCAAAAATCGGACATGAACCGAGTGCCGCGGTCGCAGACGATTTCCTTGGGGTAACCCTTGGTTCGAATCCAACTGGCGTAAAGAACTTCGGCCAACTCCGGTGCCTTGGCATGATAGCGGCAAGGCAAAAACATAGCGAACTTGGTGAGTCGGTCGACCACCGTGAGAATCCCATCCACACCAGTCTTGTGTTTGGGGAACGGCCCAGTGATATCCATGGCAATCGCCTCCCTTCGGTTCAAGGGGACCGGTAATGGTCGCAACTCGCCGTACGGACGATGATTGCGGGATTTGCAGCGTCGGGAAACCTCGCATGACTCGCAATAGCGCGTGACGTCGTCGAGAAGGCCGAGCCACCAAAAGCGCCCGCGAAGTCGGCCAGTCGTTCGATTGACTCCAAAGTGTCCGGTGGCGGGAGCATCGTGGAACTCCCCAAGAAGTTGTGTACGCAAGTGAGAGTCACTCGGTACGCAAAGAAGGTCCTTCCCCAGTGTCTGGACAAGCAAGTACCCCTCTTGGATCCGGTAGTGAGAAGGCACTGAATTAGGAGAGGAGCAATTCGCGTACTTGTCGCGAAACTCGGGGTCGGCTTGGTAGGCGCAGATGAAACTGTCCTGCAGATTGTCGTCGATCTCGAAGGTCAAAGAGACTGCGGTACAATGATCCGAACACCGTGAAAGAGCATCCGCAAAAAGGTTAGACTTCCCCGAAATGTGATCGGGAAAGTAGTCGAATTGGTCGATGAAGGCCATTCAATGGGCAATAGTGCTATTGACGGTGTCTTGGGTCTTGTAGAAGACCAACAGATTGTTGTCCGTTACCCATCGGAATTGACTTCGACCAAGGAGGAAGTGCCGCCACCGCTTGAGCGCGTGGACAAAGGCTAGGAGCTGCTTCTTGCGTGCATCATCAATGGAGTGCACAACGGGCACTTTCTTGTTGAAGTACTCGACTGGGTGTCAGTCCACGCCATCGTGTTGTTCGAGGACGGCACCAATGCCATAGCCAGACGCATCCGTAGTGACGCGCGTTGGCAAGAGCGGGTCGTATATGCGCAAGACCTCCGTAGATAATAGCGTGGCTTTGAGAGCCAAAAATGATTCCCGCACACCCTCTCCGAAGTCAAACGGTCGATCCTCGCATTGAAGCTTGGTCAAGTGGGCCGCGATCTTCGAGTATCCCTTGATAAAGCGTTGGTAGTAGCCGACAAGGCCAAGAAACGAACGGACATCCGTGACGTTCCGCAGCTCCGGCCACTCTTGGATGGCTTGAATCTTGTCCGACAACCGATTGATGCCCTCCGGTGTGACAAAATGGCCCAAGTATTCCAGCTCTTGCCGAACAAATTCGCACTTGTCGCAGTTGGCTTTGTACTTGGCGCGGCTGAGCGTCTCCAACACTCGTCAAAGGTGCTCAAGATGATCCTCCAATGTCTGGCTATAGAGGAGAATGTCGTCTAAGTAGACTAGCACGAACCGGTCCAACGTCGCATGTAACTCGTCGGTCATTGCACTTGAAAGGTCGCCCGGGCATTGGTGAGCCCAAAAGGCATGACCACCCACTCAAAATGCTCAAGACGCGGATTTGTAGTGATCGTTCGGTCGGATCGAAATCTGACGGTATCCTGATTTCAGATCTAACTTAGCAAAGTACTTCGCGCCACCTAAACGCTCAAGGAGATCGTCAATACGAGGAAAAGGCCCCGCATTCTTGACGGTTTGCTCGTTGAGCTTGCGGTAGTCGATGCACAATTGTAGATCCTTGTTCTTCTTCCATACGAAGAGAACTGGCGCTCCATATGGGGAGCTACTAGGGCGGCTACTTGTCCAACAATTCATCGAGTTGCGCGCGGAGGACCAGACACTCCTCCTCGCTCATGCGGTAAATGCAGCCTTTTGGTGGCATGACACCGGCCTCAAGAATGATCAGCCGATCCAGCACCACATCGGTAGGTGACTTGAAGATGTCGGTGACGTCGTCAAGCAACCGCACCACACGGGGGTCCGAGGACAAGTCCATGGGGGAAAAATCGGCTATTGCGACGGTCTATAGGAAGCATAGGCCTATCTCGTCGCTGCTCGTAAGCGCAAGTAGCCCAGAACCACTTGGTCGTCACCACTTGGCACCGGATCGAAGGGTGCGAAAAAGGAATCTCGTCGGGCTGCTCGTAAGCGCAAGTAGCCCGGAACCACTTGGCACCGGATCGGGTGCGAAAGAGGAATAGTACACGGTACCTCGGCGCCAAAGGCGTCCCGAACGGTAAGAGTCCACCGGTGGAAGTTGATCGTGTGATCCGCACTTGCAAGCCAATGCATTCCCAAAATGATATCGAACTTCGTGTCCAAAATGTCGAACATCACTGGTTCGCATGCATGAGGTGCGAAATACACCGGTACGACCTCGATGTAATGGTCGATAAGTTGTTGCGTTCTTCCGTCTGCCAACTTGATCGCCGTCAGGTTTGCCTTCCTTCGAACTTGTGCGCCAAGGCCAGCCTTGGGCTGGAGCTTGGCTCATGAAATTGCGAGTTGCGCCACTATCCAGCAAAGCGCTGCACGACACGTGCCCAACTTGGATGCGGACATAGAGGAGCGGTGCGTTATTGTTATCGTACCGCTGCTTGCAAAACTCTCGGGCCGCCTTCGTAACATACACAAGGATGTCCCCCACCGCAGCTTCGTCATCCGTCAACGAAGTTGGTGGTGCATAGAAGGATAGATACGTGTGAAGATGAGCGCATAATGCTACACATTGCGGTCCCGACAAACGGCCCGTGTTAGGGAGAGGAAGCCATGCGAAATCCTCCGACGTGAGCGGGTCCAAGACCTCTATTTTGAACTCGCGCGCCGAATCCCGTGAAGAACCACTCGACGACGATAAGTCACTGCTGCCGGACGGAGAAGATGCCGCACACACGTATTATCCTTGAGCATGAGTACCCAGCGTAGGAACGAGCCGGGCAGCATAGTCCTCATAAGAATATAGAAGAGGAAGACTATCGACTTCCGCATGTGCCTCGGAACGAAGGGCAGTCACCCACGAAAACGACCAGTTCCGGAGGTGTCGAGAGTGTCGTCGATCCACTCCTGGCGGTGCTCAGTTTCCCGACTTGTCCTTGCCTTTCGACGGGCAACCCACTTTGTTGTGGAGATCACTGTTACACCACAGGCAATAGTGGAATCTCGTGTGTAGCTTGTACACACGTTCAGAGAGACCGTAGTGGGACCATGGGGCTGGAGCTGCTACGCTGGGCCCGAGGATAGATGCGGTGCTTGTCTTCGTCTTGCCCCGTCCTCGGCCTTTGCCGAGGCGGCCACCATCCCAACCGGCTTCGAGCGTGAAGGGTCGGTTGCCGCGGCCACGACCACAGCCACTTTCGGCCGATGCTGATCTCTGCTCGGGCCTGTCGCAGATGAATGGTTGAGGTTCTTTGCCTTCTTGTTCGTGACAATGATCTGTGCGGCCTTGTCAAAAAGCTCCGCCGTTGTCGTCGGGGTGTCCTCGACGTGAGTCAAGGCGTTGCCCAACGCCGGACACGACCTCGTGATGAAGTAGTGTTTGACGACCTTGAAGCCCATCTGAATGTCTGGAACGGATTTCAAGCGTTGGTACTCGACAATCTAATCAACACTTGGCAGCGTGCCTTGTTCGACCGTCAGCGATTTGTCCATTGCCTTGATCTCCGACGGCTCTACTTGGAACCGCTTATGCCACGCCGCCTTTAGATCATCCCAGCTGATCTTGGTGTGCAACTCGGCAGCTACTGCCCCGTACTTGGACAAGAGATTGTCCAACCATGCTTGGCACGCGCCCCCCAACCGGGAGTATAAGTACGCGTGATGCTTGTCCTCGCTGACGTGGTGTAGCTGCAACTTGAGCTTGAACTTGCGGAACCACGGAATCGGGTCCGTCTTCGTCGAATCGCAGAAGATCTCCTGACCATTGAACTTTGGAGTCATCTCGCGCGGTGCCGAACTCGGTGTGGCGGCGGCAGCACAGACTCGCTGCTCTAGTTGTTGCGTGGCGGTTTGCTGTAGCCGCGCTTCGTCCTTGAGGGTTCCGACGTTGATGTCCAATGCATTGAGGCGATCGGAGGTGTTGGAGGAGATGGCAGCGGGGGCGGCGACGGGTCGTTGCTCCAGCTGCCGGAGGCGGCTGTTGACTTGATGAAACGCCTCGTTGTGCATTTGAACCGCGTCGTAGAGGTTGTGGATGTCCTCCTGCTGTGCGATGCACGTTGCCAGGAGATCCGTGAAATGGGAGAGGAGTAGAGCGATCTTGCTTTCACCCTCTTCCATCTTACCACATCTTACCATTCTCGGCCTCGGCTCGCCAGTCCGCTGCCATTGTGAGCAAAGCTCGCTCTCCGTTGAATATTTTCTCGCGTCGTTGATTTCGTTCTTCATCGGCAGCCTTTGCAGTTGCCTCGTCTTGTTGGCACTGCTGTTTGATTGCCAACAGACGTGCCTTCTCGACATCCTCTGCCTTCTTCTCTGCGGCTGCTACCTCATCCGCCCGTCTCTTGGCTTCGGTAATCAAAGCCAGCATCCGGGCCTGATAGGCCTTGGCCGTTTCCCTAGACTTTTGATCCATGCCCGCTGTTTGTAAGCGCGTGAGCATAGACCAGGCCGGAGGACTGCTGACGTGGCACTGTTCGGCTGCTGACGGGGCGCGGCTGTCGGCTGACTTGCCCTGCTGACGTGGCCTACTGACGTGGCCTGCTGACATGGTCTGCTGACGTGGCCTGCTAACATGGCAACTCACCAATGCCGCCACAGGGGGCACCCGGAGACAGATAGAAAAAATAAGACCAGAAGGGGCAACAACATAGGTGGGGAGGGGTGGGTGGGATAAATCGCCTAGATAAGGAGCCACTAATCAAAAAAGAAAAGTTCGAACTTTTGCAGAGAAAAAAATTTCGAGAATCAATAAAAATCCCGAATTTTGCAAGTTCAGTAGGTCTCCCAATCTCCCTTAAACCAAAAGAACAACGAAAATCGCGATTTTCAATTTATTTATTTTTTTCCGATTTTGGCAGTTAGGTCCAGATGTCAGATCAGGCTGTCCTGATTCACGTGCGGTGCTCCAATACCAACTGATACATGCCCAGTACATGCCCAGTTGGGCAATGTATGTACAGCCAAGGATCCGCAAGGTGATGAAAAGGACTGAATGGACAATGCAGTGTTAACGGAATCTCAACAATCACTGTACATCATGACACATACAAAATGGCACTTTGTAGCGCAGTGGAAGATTCGGATACAAGTCCTGATTTGACCGGGACGGACAAGGCATCCCATTATACATCACCCATGTGAGAGGAGGAGGAGGAGATACCATGTTAGTGGAAGATTCGGATACAAGTCCTGATTTGACCGGGACGTAATGGTGCAAACCAGAGCAAGGTCCCTCACATAGTACAAGACAGCGCAGCAGAATGCTAGGATGCCAATGATCAACCCAATCAATGTCGGAATGCAGACCCAACATACATCATCATCGTTGCAAGGTGTGAAGGGCCTGGCGCTACACACAGGAAGAATGCGCCAGGTCCGGACCATACACAGACGAAGAGGAGGGGATCAGACGAAGAAGAGGGGGAAGATGGGAATGTCGTCAACACCAAGTCTTCGGTACAGGGCCCAAATAATCCCTCGTTCAATGTCTCAATCCCAATGTCGAGTCTGAATCCAAATGTCGTCAAGTCCCAAAGTCACCAATCTCTCTCCCTCTCGTAGTCTGCAGATACTGAGAAGTCGGGTAGCGAGAGGGTGAGGGAGAGATGGTGGACTTTGAAGAGGAAGAAGAAGAACTCTCTCTCTCTGTCTCTCAGTCCGGTACTAACCTGTGAAGGTGGCGCCTTGTTGCAGGTACATCGAAAACGAAGCTGGAGCTATGGCGCCACAGGTAAGTCGCCCTGGCCTCCACCAACCATCTCTCTCTCTCTCTCCAACGCTACTCTAGCTCCTACTTGCGCCTAGAGCTGAAGACTACTTCTAAGGCTACTACTGCAGCGCTCCTCTAGAGTGCTGCAGCCGAATCCTGAAGACTGCCTCCTGCCTCCTGCCTCCTGCACGTGAAGTGCATGGGAAGTCCCTATGAACTACCTGCACCCTGCAGGGCGGGCCAGCCTTATATAGTGCTGGCCCGTCCAAGAGGCTGCTCTTGCCAATGCCAAAGCGTGCCAGACCCTGGAGTTGAAGCACAAACAAAGGTTGTCTTGAAAACAGGCCCAAAATGGCCTGTGCTAAAACCCTGGTCTGGTGCCTAAGTTTCAGGGCAGGTTGATCTTATGAGGGCATGAAATCGCCCTCCAGTTCAGGTCGAAAAGACTCAGGGCCTGGAGGGCCCTGTTTTAGGCTGAAACGAGACAGGGCCTGTAGGCCCTTGTTTTCAGGCTCCCAGGCTGAAACGACATGGGGCCTGAAAATGGCCCTTGTTTGTAGGCGCAGCATGTACCACACACACTCACACACACACACACACACACAAACAAACAAAAGTGTAGTAGTGTATAAGGAAGTCGCGTGAGGCAACGGCGAGTTTGAAGACTTACCTGTTCTCTCTCTCTCTCACACACAGCCACACACACACACACACACACACACACACACCAAAAAAAAAGTCGCAGGGTATATTTCATACCTGCGGCGCATCTCATGCACGCGAGCTCCACACGTGCGGCGCATAGCGCATGAGCAAGCATGCGCGCGCACATGATGCGGCGCACCCCAATAAATAGAGTAAAACAAAAAATCGAAGAGGGCTGAGGTAACTGATGCTGCCCCTTCCGTCTGAAAAATCTAAGGTCACAGGAAAAAAAAATGGGGCCACGTATTCCTCGTTGCATAGCCTTTTTCCCGAAGGACCCCAGCAGTGCATCTGCAACGGTCCCAACGTCTCAAGAGACGTTCAGCAAATTTCGTTTAAGGGTGGAGCAGGCCAGCAATATATAGTCTGGATCCGAAGTCAGGTCTGTTTTCCAGCAGTTATGGGTTACAAGTTAGAACTCCTTACTACCTTAGCAGTGGCCCTAAGGTCCTTGCTCCACTCGTCACCACTTGCACAAAAGGCAAAACATATGGCGGCGTGGTTCCATGTTCTAGCAGACGATTCATTCTAGTTTTGCACATTTATTGGCTCTCTCTTTCTTTTCTTTCGTTTTCCTACGAGCAGTGGCCCTAAGGGCCTTGCTCCACTCATCACCACTTGCACAAAAGACAAAACATATGGCGGCGTATGATTCCATGTTCTAGCAGAATATCCATTCTAGTTTTGCACATTTGGTGAGTAGTGGAGGGAAGCCGTGGAAAGCACGTGGTGAGTTGGCCTGCTACTGTCCGCATGCTCAGTGGTCCCATAACTGCTGAAACACAGACCTTAATGTGAATCAACACGATATATACTTGGCGTGCCACGACCCTAGCGTGTGTATGAGCTTTGCCTCGTTCATGGTAAGGAGGCCCTTGCTAATTCTCTGCAGGGGCCTATCGGAGACTTACCTGCTCTCTCTCTCTCTCTCTCTCTCTCTCTCTCTCTCTCTCTCTCTCTCTCTC